CGTTTCGCCGGCATCGTAGTCGGTATCGTCAGTGAGTTTTACCATTCGTAGCACTATATTACAACTCGTCGTCTATAAGCCCCTCACCTTTTTGTCATATCTATAATATATTTTTTCCTTTATAGTTTAAAGTTGCTACTCTACTAAAAATCCTTTGTTTGTACTCATATTTTTGCCAAATTACTTTTTCTTTAGCGTCCCCGGCCAGCCTAAACTCTGACGAATGCCTACCCAATCTCCCTATTCAATGTCATCCTCCATTGCCTGCCAGCCACACGAGTTCCCTTTCTGCATCTTTCGCTTCTGCGCATTTCCCTCTTCTTCCCATTTCTCCCTCAGCATCCTTGTCTTTCGAATCTGCTTCTTCCGCTAGGGGACAGTCCTTTGCGGGGAGTACTCGAAACAGAAAACAGAGCACTACAGCATGCTTTGGAAAAAGCTACACTCCAACCACCACTTATCCCTCATCATCCTCTTCTCCGCAGTCTTCTATTACTCTCTCTTCACCACATATTCCCATTGTCAATAGTCTAATAGCTCCTGAGACATGTACTCCTATTGCATCTACTTCTCATAGTGCTAGTGTTGCATCTATTTCCTCTTGCCATGCACCTGTAGCACAAACCACCCTTAGCACCATTGTAGGTCCTGGTCGACTAATACAACCAAGTGATGGTTCCTGTGGGTCACTGGGTCGTCGACAGCGGATCAGGCCGCACCCTCCTAGGCGCACTACGCCTGTAAAGCTGAGCACAGCCCTCTTAATTTCTAACACGCTCCCAGTAGCAGCTGCTACTGATAACGTTACTTCACAACGAGGGCCGACTGGCTCGGATCAAACATTGGCGTCAATGCGCTCATTCTATTCTCACCATCATCACCACCAACAAAGTCTATCTGCAGCTTCGGACCTGATAGTTGTCCCTGCCGGTGAACCTGGCTTCTCTGGCTCTGAAACAATGGCAACTTGCATGACTAATTCAGGTTAGGTGTTTGCTTATTGATAACAGAATTCTCTTTAGGAAGACCCTGACAAGTCTCATCTAGTCTCGAAGTTGCTTGACTTTGGTTTTACAACTTGGCCATATTTGCAGGAGGACCTAGAGGAACGCACCTTGTCCGGAGTCCATAGCATGCATGATAAATTACAGAGTCGGATCGGGGACTTGGTACATTTCCAGACGTTTTGCCGGCATCGACAATGAGCAATGCCACACTGAAATTCGTCAAAGGACAATTTAATTCGATCCTTTGACCAATTATCTGCAAAAATGGTTGTCCTGGGCTATTCACCAATCATATATCCTCGCATCATCCATTCAATATCACAATTTCGTACTTGTTATGTTATGCATTATGTTCTACACTGCCTCAAGGCTTGATAGCTCGTATACATCAGCCTTACTGAGCAAACCCCTAAAGTCTGGATTCTCAATTAGCATGGTAACCTAGTCTGACGCTTCAGATTCCCTGTGGGGCATGTGCACCGAATACAGCTCGTGGTCAAGCAATCACTTCATGAACCACGTCTATGAGCAAACTTATCTACTAATAGCTAACTAAAAATGGCCACCAGCGAATATCTCGTTCTTCTATCCCTTATGCCAAGTCTATGACTTTCTCTTGTGTGCCGAGCCCCAAATAAGATAGTCCTACCTGATCTGAATAGGCTCAGTGTAAAAGTATTCAATTGGTTTCCGATTGTTCCTATCTGGTCTCCTTGTAATTTGTTTTCCTAAAATAAAAAATATTACTTTTGCCCAGCCGTCTTTTGGCTGATATTGCTGTTCACTGAACTTCTCCGAATTTGCTTATCTAGTATGCAAATTTTCGCTAATCCTGCTCCTTTTAAGTGTCCTGTTGATTAGATTTCTTTTAGTCAGGATTTCGATGGCTTCTCGTATCCTGCGTTTTGTTGTATTTCCACCATATGTATCTCGTCTTTATGTCGTTTACACTTGATTTCATTTCCCGTCCATGCGATGAGTTTCACTATTTAGGATTTTTCAGTGGATTAATGAAGATACGTAAAAAAATACAAATGAACGATCAAATAGTTCTTCAGGAGGATTGGGGAGGTGCGATGGTCATAATGGACATGCAGCAGTACATGGAGAAATCGTATGGTACCCTAGGCTACCGGGACACTTATCAAATACTAAAAAAGGATCCAACAATGGAGATCAACGGAATACTGAGGAAAATATTAAAGGAAATGCATAACAAATAAATCAACAGATGGATAATGAATTATTTAATATAAAAATGGCTCAAGACTATGGACAGCCTACAGATTAACGATGGTACACGAGGAAGGAAAACAACTAAAGTTGATAGTCAATAGCAAGCATGGAACAACACACAAACTAGCGAAATTTATATGCTTGAAGCTAAAGAAAGTAAATTACAGACTTTCTAACACAGGGAAGAATACATATGAATTTTCTCAAAGGATCCAAAATATTTGACTGACAGGGACGGAAATGTTGGCAAGTTTTGACGTACAACCCAGGTACAAAAACCTCTCAGGCGTTACGGCAGTCACCGCCATGAAGGAGGTCTTGGAACGAGAGGAGATCCTGGAAGCAGAGTGGATACGGAAGTAGACGCTAACGTGAATAATCAACCTGACAGTACGTACTAAATACTTTACT